TGGTGAGCCTGCCACCAGCATGTCTTTAGCACGTTTTGACAGGTGTGATTAATGATTATCTTTAAGTCCAAAGAGGAGAAGCTCAGGGCTTGTTTGACTGTTGAGCATCCTGGGCAGGTGAGAAGGCCTGCAGTCAGCTAGCCAGCCATGAAGGTGACCCGCTCCGTTCACGCAGCAAGCTGAGCCTTAGCAGGATCCTGGTATATCATTGCACTGAGGCCATGCTGGACAAGTGCTGAGTACTGGAGAACACTGAAAATAAATTCTGTCAGTATCAAAACTACACATTTACACTATCTACTTGAAAGTACATGAGCAGTATGCAGCTTTGTAACACAGCAATGGGAATATTCTTTAATTATTAATAGAGTTGGATTCTGGTTGTCCATCTAAAGTTCATGAAAAGATGACATAAACTAGAATCTATCGGACTGAAATTACTCTAGGCTAAGATTGCCCAGGCTAAGATTGCCTTGAGGCATTTCAAGGATAATTCAGATTTATTTAAACCTGGCTTATTTCCAATCAACATGGCTATTATGACGCTATGGGTCATGCTAGCGTCGCAATCACGGATCATCCTGTTTACTATTATGAGGATGATCACCCGTCATTTCACTTAATGGTTTACCATGTCTAATGTTGGTCAAGATAATGTACCCCACAGGAGCCCTGTGTTGTTCCTGTGGTTACTGATTTCCACAGCAGACTGAGAGGAAATCTTTTCCTGCAAAACACGCTACCTGTTGATGGCTGACTTGCAAAATAGCTGTGGCCACAGAGGAGAGTGATTCCTGCCAGGTGACTACAACAAATAAAGCTTAGGCCTCCATTAACACTGTCATCCTACGGAGTGAATTTCACCTCTCCACTCCAGATATACCAAACCCTGAACTCTCCATACTGTAAGAAAAAGTAATCACAGTACATAAATGCTGTATGGGGAATTACAATATGTGTATTAGCAATTCAGTGTAGCATCTGGATATATTTTTTTTTTAGCTGAGAAGACAGTTACTTGGATATTTAGCCCCAGGTAAAAATGTACAAAAATTAATAGGATCCATATCTGAGAGTATTGTTTTGGTGAACCTTCACAGCAGTAACTCACAGCTGGAATCATTTTCATCCAGCTCTGGTAATAGTCAATGAAAAATGCAGTGTTTGCATTTGTTATTTTATTCTTGCAACTCCAAAAGTGCTGGCACACGAAATGAAAAGCTATCCTTGCCCTGAACCTGGTACATTTCAAATAGGAACAGGAACAATGCTGTTATAAAATAATAATATTGTTCTTTAATAAGAAAGACGTCTTCCTGTGTCCAGGTAGAAAAATTACTTTTTAATTCTTCATACATTAAAAAAACAAAGCGGTCACATTGCAATGCATTATATTTAAGAGGTGATGAGTGTTAAGGCAGTTGGAAGATGATTACCTGACATGTTGAGTCATATGTAGATTGCATCAGGTTGGAGTGAGTTTAAGGTTATTTAAGTTCCACAGTGTTTGAATGTTAGGATAGTCTGTAGTGTTCTCCACCTCCTATACGTCTGACCAAAAAATCCTCTACTGTATGTGGGTACGGCAAATATATCTCAAATATTTTTGTACACATAATGCGGACAATTTAAAGAATGAATTGAAGGAGCAGCAAGGCAGCTTCACATATCTACAGGAAGACATATACCAAGCCTGTGCTCCTGCAATGCAAGACTAATGCAATAATGTAACACGATATTGGTGTCAGTGTATCTGTAATGCCAAATAAAAGTCAGGGATTGATTATTCATCCTGCTGCCCTAAGCAGTCCAGAGCACACAGTAAAACTGGGGGGGTTGATTTGAGGGCAGGAGATATCATGATTAAGCTGGAGATGGTATTGCCTTACCCACCGCTAGTGCATATTCGCGATTACTCATCAACCATGTATGAATGACGGCGTTTTGTGAAAGAGGAAAGTAGTAATCTCTGATACACACAGTTGTGTGCATGATGGGTCTCATCTCTGCAAGAACTCTTAAACACAGACACGCATTGTGACTCAGCCTCCTGTTCAATTATGTTTACATGGAACAGTGGAGGCGGCAATTTAGTTTTCTCAAAAGCTGCAAGGCCACATACTCAATAAGCTGTTTATTTAATTACAATGTGTGTGTGTGTGTGTGTGTGTGTGTGTGTGTGCGTCTGTTTTAAGGGGAACTGTGGATCACTGAACTTTCACACCCATATCGAGAAAGGATTTCCTGCCCCCACTGTCAATATGACTACAGCAGTCAAGTCGTTCCATTGGCTGCCTGGAGGTTTGAGTGATGCAAGCTAGGTGATCTTGCTCTGCAGGTATTCAAACCTGCCCGCACCCATGACTCTCTCGCCCCTGCTTCCATTTTACTGTGTTTGTACATGTGTCTGTGGGCAGTGTGACGCAATAACGCCGGAAGTGCTCGACGCTGTGATTAGGAAATCTTCTGTCTGTCACATACGCATTCAC